GAAAGGGAAGAGGAGAGGGTATGGAATATGTTCGTGAGCTTCGATAAAGTGTGCGTGACAGGCTGGCTGAGAGGACGAATGAGTTGGGGGGGTAGGGGGTGAGCTAATGACTTGCCGAAAAGAGAGAAAGATTGTGTGTTCTTGTGTGTGTGTGTGTGTGTGAGTGTGTGTGTGTGCGTGCGTGCGTGCATGTTAACCTTGCCTGCAACCAATAATCTCAATGCTGCCGTGACAAATTAGGCACAAATCTTTGCTGATGTGATTAATCTCATTGTTTCACAGAAAGTTTTTTTTAAATTTTTTTCACCGGAGACGATCACATCAGAAATCTGCATGGAAGAGTGAACTGGCATCTTTATCTCTTCAATGGAAACCTGTTGAGTCCTGTTTTTATGGCTCAGTTTAAAGCGAAGTATTATACCATGACTGGGGGAAAACAGAAGGGGCAAAAAAGTTGTAAAATTAAGTACGAAAAGCACCATCAAACCTATGTGTGAGTCGGATTCTTGCTTTGTGAGCAGATGATATGACGATTAATGTTTAAGATGTCCATCTCTGGGGGAAAAAAGAAAAGGCCTTTGGGTTTTAAGGGGGCAGCAGGAGTCTGTATTAAAAATCCTCGATTTGGGGCCACAGGGTATTCATGGTAAGCAGGCCAGCTGGGTTGCTTAGGAACAACCACTAAAGCCTGTATGAACCTTTCTGCATATACATTGTATTAGATAGAGTAAATGATAAGATGTGTTGCACCTTTTGTTGATCAATATCTCTTAATATGAGATTTTAAAAAGTGGTTCTAGGCTTGGAAATGTGATTTTTAAAATGATTTTCATCCTTTGTGTCTCTTTATATTGTAATACACTGTTTATCTTGGCGTTTTGTAGTCCAAAGCTGCATCTATACTGCAAGCACTTTGCTCATCGTTCGTGACTTTGAAGCTGACGGATGGCTTCTTGCAAAAGTTGTGTTGGGTACCCTCAAATGTGTTTACTACCAGGTCGTATGTCAATCACTGAAATCCTTCGCCTCACTGTTTGTCACACAAATGTTTGACTTGAAATAATATTTTAATGCTAAAATAATAAAAACAAATATAAAAAAGCATATTTTTATTTTTTAATAAGAATCCAAATCTGTTACTTCCCTGAACAGACAAATGTGGTTTAGGTTTAATGTTATGCCCGATTAATTTCTGAAAGAAGTCCAGTTTTTCAGTTTGTAGTTTTAAACAAGTTTTTAAAGAGCTTTCTGAAGTACTTGTGTTTTCTTGTTTTTATGGTGTAATAAATCTCTTAATCACCACTAGTCCTGGGTTGGAACCTCCTTTTGGTTTCAGAACCTTAATTCTTTGTAGCAAAGGTTCTTTGCTACAGTGCAGGACAGATCCATGCTTTCACATTTAGGTTGACGTCTCCATTTGTGCTGCAACAGATGCTGGGTTTACCATCTTCTGTTGTCCAACTGGTGAGGTTAAGAAAGTTGTAGTCTCAGTTTCTCTTGTCTTCTGCTGCTGTAGCTTGCTTTGAGTTTTTCCTGACAGCATACATGTTCGAGTTAATCTCTCTATCCTAGTCCCTTGAACCAGTCTAACTATTATCTGCTGACCACTGGCACTAACAAGGCATTTTAACACACAAAACAGGCACTTATTGAATATTTTGATATGTTGTGTTGCTTTTTAGATCTCTTATAAACCCGAGAAATAGTTGTATGGAAAAATCCTAGCAGATCAGCAGTTTCTGAAATAATCAGACCAGATTGTCTGGCACCAACAAACATTTTACATTCAAAGTCACTTTAATCGCTCTTCCTTGAACTTCAGCTGGCCGTCTTAACCATTAAATGCATTAAGTTCCAGTGTTGAAATTTGGTCGACGACATACGCTGTGAGCATTTTCACAGGTTTACCTGTAAGTCTACATGTAAATACATACTTTATCTTAGAGTAATATTGTAAAGGGGAAATGATGGTGCTATTTTTTTACCTTTCTGGCAAAGTATTATACAAACCCATTAATAACTTCACCATTTGCTGCTCTGCTACATTATACTGCACAAACTGCAGATAATAATGCAAACAAACTGAACAAACAGTGTGATGATCTAAACATCCATAAAGCATCTTTTTCTACATTAAGTTCTGACACAGAAAAGTCCGTAAGGCCTCAAACACCCTCCTTGAAATAAACAACCCTCAATGTGTGTTTATGATAAAGAAAGTACTGTATGTGCACAATTCAGGCGCCAACTAAAGTGTGTGTATGTGTGTGTGTGTGTGTGTGTGTGTGTGTGAATCAGGGGGAATGTGGCTTATGGTGTAAAGTACATCGATTGGGCAACAACATTTGAGATGTGCTGTTAAAAAAAGTGTAGTTTGACACATTTGGTATCTTTGACAGCTTTAATTCTTGACTTTCATTTAAAGTTTCGTGGGCCTGAGCAATGTTGGATAAACTCACCTAGTTCCAAGAGTAAAGGTAATGACACTATCTAGTCTCTGATAAAAAAAAAAAGAAGCTCAATGTCTGAGAAAAAGTGCTGGCTGTAGGTGCGCTATCCCTAAACTACATCCATGAGGCCTTAATAGGTCAGATTACAGCCAATATATTGTACATGTATAAGCACACTTCCTGCAACTCATCACGCAATATTATTTTTGGCATGAACACATCATATTCAGGATTGAGTTTCCTCTCAAACCACTTGTTTGTTCCATTCCTATCCATTGCTTATATTTGGTTCTTAGGACAAGGAGGAGCCAGTCTGTAATGAGCTCCCTTGAGAGACTGCAAAGACATGTCATTTTTTTCATCACTGGTTTTAAGTGTGCGTGTGTGTTGAAGGGGGTTGGGGGGAAAATATGTTTAAGATTCCACAAAACTATGATCTGGAACAGTGAGCCCAGAGTAGCCCGCACTGGATATTGGACTGCAGAGGCGAAGGGAGCGTCCAGCTTCTTTGGCGAGGAATAATGTGTCCATTCCGCTTGACAGTGACTCTTCATGACTGTTTCACATCGCTATATAGAGGGGCCGTGGCCTGTCCGTGTTAGCTGCTTCTTCTTCTTCTTCTTTTTTTGTTGCAAACAGTTCTATAAGTATTCATGAAACACAGGAGTGACAGCGAGGGAGCAAATATGTGTGCGAGAAAGTTTGTATGTGAGAGAGCAAGACAGGAAGCAACCAGGGGCCCACTCTCAGCCACAAAGTAGTAGTAGTGACTAAAAAGATTCACTTTAAGAGGAAGTGAGTTACTGTTGTGTTTGTGTGTTTGTGTATAAAATTGTCTGTGTGTGTGCTAGAAACTTCAGACTAAATATGAATAACCTACAAACATGAATGCACATATTGCGAAGTATTATACCATGACTGGGGGGAAACAGGAGCGGCAGAAAAGTTGCAGCTTGTGTGAATAAATTTGCACCGTTTATGTAATAAATGTGGTGAATTCACTCCTCAGGGGAACCCACAGTGGAAACCTTTGTGATCGTATGTTGTCTTACTTATGACCATATATGCTGTGTACAAAAAAAACAGGCCATCTATTGCTCAGGATATCATGAGCTCATGAAGCTTTAGGCTTCATTTTGGCAAGACTCACAGGTCTTATGATGGAACACACAATCCTCCCTCTGTAATGTAACTTTTCTATATAAAGGAATATAAATAAATGTAATATTTATATATAAATATTTTGAAATTGCTTTTCTGGGTCCTTATCTGGTCCTCTTTTCTGTCTAAATTTGCATCGTTTGGGAGAAGAAAAGTGGTTCAGTCGGTTTTTCATAGCTATACTTTGAACATGTTGTTCCTCATGAAAGAAAACATCCCCATTAAAAAAATGGGGGTGAGGAAAGGTTGAAAATAGCTGACATACTTTTGAGGAAGTCTCTCAGTTGGTACTTAATTGTGTTGCTCCATCTGGTGTTTTGTTGAAGTTACTGCGGCACAGACTTATGAGAATATAATACAAAATGTCAGCTTTTAACAGTTTGTATTCTTCAGCAGGCAGTTTGGACTTATAGCTCCCTCTACTGTTCATAACCTATATCACACTTCAAGTAGGCTGTGGGGAAAAAGGGAAACGGAATGGAGAATATTAGAAAGCATTTTTCTAATTTTGTGTTGTCCAATTTTGTCCCAGTTTTCTGTTTTTACCCTGACAGGAGTATGCTCTTCTATTGCTGCAGCCCACAGAAAACTACACACAGATGCAGAGATGCTCTTCTGCATAACCTGTTGTTAGGAATGCTTATTTGAGTTACTTTTTTCCTGTCAGTTTGAAGCAGTCGGGCAGTTTTCCTGTGACCTCTGACACCAAAAACGTATTTTCAGTTTTCTGAAATACTCACTTAAGTGACTTTTCATCCCCATTCTGTTTGTTCAAGTCATGTAATAAATTGAGTTGCTGTCATGTGATTGCACTATTGAGCAATTGAAGGGGTATGAAGTCTCAGGTGAGTGACCTGACCATGACAAGATGAACAAGTCCTGCTATTCTACTGTATTGCAAAAATTAAATACCAGTGCATTTCTTTGCATTTGACCCAAACTCCTAACTTAAGTGCATTTAAGCTGGCATGGCTCAGATCAATGTGTTATCTATTATGACCCAGGTCATGATACTCTGTGATACTCTTTACTGTACAGCGCTGTGATAATGTAGTGGGCGGGACCAATGGGTGGGCACTGTACCGACAGGGAGGTCCATCAACACATGTTGATGGACCTCCCTGTCAGTACAGTGCCAAAAGAGGCTTAACCACACCCACTGAATAATCAAAACACAGTATGTACTGAATGTGATAGCCAGTCTCCCAGCAGCCAACAGTAACAGCTTAAAAGAGGTTTTATGGTTTGTTGTGTTTTGTTTTTTCTGAGCTTCTTTTTTATAAATATTGGTCCTCGATTATCAGAGATTGTGAGACCTTAGAATCCTAATAATAATTGAAGACACACCAGCTCCTGCATCCCAGCCTTGTTGGCAGCTTCATAAGAAAGATGGTGATGGCAGACCCTGAACCCGTAACTACCACAAAGGTTGTTTCTTTTCCTCTTGTTTTCAGTGCATTTTTGTATTACCAACAACTATGTGTTGTGCTTATTCAGGTGTACCTTCAGTGAGGAGGTGGAATAAGTGGATAGTATTTTTGTCTTGGCTTACCATCATAACTAATTGCACACCACCTGGAGTCAAGATGACTGAACGGTCTAAGGCGTTGCATTTAGGTCTTGCAGGAAATAGTTCATCAGGAATGCATGTGTGTGCATGTTTGAGTTGCTATTTGTTTCTAAGGCTATTTGACCTCAAGTTTAAATACATAAGTCAGATTCCATTCAGTTTAAGGTTATGCATTCGAGATCATTCAATTGTATATTATGATATATTGACAGATAAAAACGTGCTCAAGCATCTTTGTAATCAGTGTTCAGTAGCTGAGCAAAAGCTCTGTGTTCTGGTTGCCTTCTCCCTTGGAGGCGTGGGTTCAAATCCTGCTCCTGTGACGAAGCATTTCACATGTAGCAAATGAAAGATGAAGATGCTATTCATCATTACAAAACCAATCACTTTGCAGGGTTGAACAGTGCCCAGCTAAGAGACCTGTGTTATGAGAAATTTAGATCTCAAATGCATTTTGTCAGAGTAACACTAAGAATAGTTGTACCCTGTTCATCTGAACAAGTTGGTTTCCCGCTATGAAAACACCTGAATGCAGTAGTGGCAGTCGAATCTACGCCTTAACCTGCTCAACCATCTATATCTTCCACAGCGCTTTTTGGTGATATAGATAATTCCACAGAGCTTCCTGTTTCATCTTAAGCCCTCAATACATGCAGCTGTTACAGAGGTTTCAGATATGATATTATGGTTGGTGCTTAGAACTTTGGTCTCATAAAAGCAGATCTCAATGTGTTTTGAAGTGAATTCAAAGTCCAAAGCATTAACCATTACACCATGGGAGTGCCAAAATAATGCCATTAGAAAATTAGCTGGAAATCATTGGATTGTGCTGTTGGCTGGAAAACAAAATGAATCATATTAGCTTTAGTGGTTAACTACCTGTTTTTATGGTATAAAGCTGATCATGTAAATTAAAAAAAGAAGGTCAGCCCTGATTTTACCAATAATGCTCAAATAACAATAAAGTTGCTCCAGTAATTTCAAATTTGCAGATTTGTGTAAAAGAAAGTGATTCTACCAGTATGTGATAGTGCCTTTAATAAATAGTTAGCACAGTGTACATGACAGTTACTATATGACTTCAGTAAATATATTAGTGACATGAAATTAATGACTTGCTTTGTTGTACATGTCAGCTATTACAAGTCAATTATTACAAAACTCACCAACGCGGAGTTAGACCTGACACAAGACCAGCATCTTTACTTGAACAGTGTCAGACAAGGTACTTGCTGTCAGAGGTGGGATTTGAACCCACGCCTCCAGGTGAGACTGCGACCTGGACGCAGCGCCTTAGACCGCTCGGCCACCCTGACACATCTGTAGTCATGGTTTCGTGAAGTTAAAAATTTAGGACGGCTGCCTATGCCATCTAAAATGTTCGGATCATGCTGTTGTTACAGAGGTTTGGATCTTTAGCCATCAGAATTGTTGTCTGCCACCCTCCTGGGAAGAGCTGAGGAGAGCCCCAAACGAGAGGTCACCCAGCAGCCACGGAGCAGAGGGTTGCGGTGACGTGCCCGCAGGCTCTGCCGGCAGCCAGCTGTGCCAGAGAGGCCTCTGGGCCTCAGCCCCAGACACCAAGAAACACCAAGAAACACCAATACACCGACCTCTCAGAGCATCAGCCACTGGCAGGGAGTGTGGAGAGGGGAGGTGAACAGGTGCACGCAGACACAAACGTGCATTCCCACCCCCATATACACGAACAAATACTCAGCACTCACCCGACGTGGAGACAGACATAAATAGACACTGTACACACATTCACACTCCCCAAACATACTCTATATCCCAGGTCCGGGTACCCCTGCCCCCAGAGGGGCAAACCGTACCCAGACCCAGGAGATGTAACCCTTCTCTCTGGGGTGGAGGAAAGCAGACCGCCTCCTTATCTGCAGTAGCAGGGAGGCCCCGCATCCCAGACCCCAATCCGACGGCCAGCACCTCCTCCCAGCCGCCCAGCCCTGATGGTTAACAGAACGGGGGTGAGTGAAGAAGTGCATTTAAAACACAGGAGGGCATGGTGCTTCCTGCCAGAGAGCAGCACGGCTCCTCCCGAAAACCCTCAGTGTCTATATGCATTTAAAATTGAGGGTAGGGCACCAGCGCCAGAGGTGGGTTTGAATACACAGACTATCCTCTGGATGCTGTATAACGTGCCCAACCCCAAGGCCCTATATGTGAGTGTTATGAGAGTGTGAGTAATGCGGATGTCTAGGTTGCGGAATAAAATTGAGGTACAGGCGGCTAGAAGGGGACAGAGGGGGAGTGCCTCCCCTGCACCCTGGTGACAGACCTGCACCCCAAGCCCTGCGTGTGTGTGTGGGTGTGGTGGAGCAGGAAGAGGAAGGCAGCTGAGGATGGGGAGGGAAGAAAGGGAGGGGCAAGCGGCCCCTCCCTGGGTTAGGACACGTTCATCTTACAGCAGAGAGAAAAATTACACTTGACTCAGGCTGCAACACAACATCTATCCAAAGCTCAACCCCACTACTGAGCGAGAAGGATTTGAACTGCTCCGTCTCCAACCTGGGCTAGTGCACATCTCTTTAGACAACCTGGTGGTCTCGGGCTCCCCCAGGAGCCATATCAATATCGAACTTAGTGCGGACACCCGACCAGCATAGTCCAATGTAGCTCAGAGGCTCTGAGCTCAAACAATCCTCCAGCCTTCTGCTACCTTGAATTACACGCACACACCACCGCAGCTGGAAGAAACATCTTCACTTACAGAGCTTTTAACTTTCACTGTCATGTCACATCATCACATCTGACTAGTGCCCATCATCAGCCAAGATGCAATGCAGTAAAAATCTGGTCATTTCAAAAGAAAGGAAGTCAGCAAAATTCCCACTTTTAGCTCTTATTTCTTAAATCCAGCTTCACAGACAGTGTTACATCTGTGTCAGTTTTTGAGAGCAGGGGTCCATGATGTAAATTAGCCTTTATGCATGTAGTGTTTCGTGACCACTTTAAAAGGGAGCACTTTTGTCCATAGCGTAGCTGCACAAGCAAATGAATGACCTCTCTTTTGAACACAAAACGCCCTCACACAAAACAGGAGGGGTGCCTCCAGAGTTTGGTTTTGTCCGTTTATTGATGGTAGTTTTGTGCTTGATGCAAAACGCTAGTATAACATACTGTATATTTAACACATTGTTGTAGAGGTTAATTGTAGAACCAATCTGAGGGAGCACAGTAGCGGATTTTATTTTCTATATACATATTTTTCCCTCACAAGTTGCACTAAAATCTCTCCAACAGGGCTGCTGTTGGATCCATAACAGCCACTTTAGCCTGAGGCCCTAATGAATAACATGTGTTGCTGATTTTCTGTGTTGCCATCGACTAACTGAACAGCTGAGCGCTGATAGTAATGATGTTAGTGTCAATAAACTGAGCCTACTGAAGTCTCTATCTCCTGTACTTGCTCTCAAACTCCAAACTATACTCGCCATAGTCAAGTTTGTTTAGCAGCTCCATTCAGTGCTCCACACCTCTGTGCTTGAGCTCTCATCCTCAGGTTATGTCACATTCCAGGCAACATGTTGGGACAGAAAGCTCACCTGAAACTAACAAGAAAGTGATTTCGTGCCCTTCCTTTGGACCTAGCTGCAGATTAGCATGATTTTCCTTGAGCTGAGGGACAACTTCTTCGTATCTTGTTGGAAAATCCAGTGTTTGTGAAACACAGCCTTGTTTTCCTCCTCTGGCCTTCTGCTGTAAATTTGGGATAAACAAGC